ATGGTGCCATGAAAACGAGTTCCGTAGAATTTATCTCCCAATCTCCTACCCCTTCACCTATGAATAGTAATTATAGACGGTTTGTGTTGCTCCGACGAATCTTCCAGCCCTGGCAGTGGAAACGAAGGAAAAAGAGAAATCGTTTTGAACAGACGTCCAGAACTCTACAGAGGAAAATATCGATGCGTTCAACCAAAGATCAACTTGTTGAAAAAGATGTTCTTATGCCGGTGAAACACAATGTTTTCCTGTGGAACCTTCCGGATGTCGAAGAGGTGCCTTCACATGATGGAGGAACTGTCTAGTTTAGCAGAAAAATTTTGATATGTTTAATCTCTATATAATTGTCGTATAGTCCTTGTCTGTTCCGTTTTTTTTTGTATGTTTCAGATTCTCCTCTGGTCTCCATGGAAATACCGCTGCGGACAGCGTACGGTCAGGCTGGCCGTTGTGGCATGCAGCCAAAACCAAGCAGTCTTCGCGCGCAGGCGCATCTAAGTAAAAGCAGAACTGAAACACTAAAAAGAGAGACTCTTGAGAAAAAACTTTGATTAGAAAGAGAGAAGCAGCGAAGGAGAACGCGAGAGGTGCGCGAGCAGGCGTTACCTTCTGAATACAATCGTCAAACTTATCTGTAAAAACTTTTCTACCTTTTTAATTAATTTTTGTTTAATGTTAAAATAAAATAGAAGAAAGACCAACGTCTTGGACCCCTTGTTGTCTCCCACATATATATATATATATAAATATATATAAATATATATATATATAAATATATATATAAATATATATATAAATATATATGTATATATAAATATATATATATATATATATATATAAAATATATATATATATAAATATATATATAAATATATATATATATATAAATAATATATATATATATAAATATATATATATATATATATATAAATATATATATATATATATATATATATATATATATATATATATATATATATATATATATATATATATATATATATTTCCCCCATAATCTTCTCATCCTAATAATTAATATCTCAAACCGCATATTTAATCGTTCTAATATCTCTCTCAATTTTTTTAGTATATAAGTTGAATTGAAAATTCTATAACTTTTTTATGCTAATCTCAGTTGTAAATTGAAGAGGCCTAGAATTTCAAATATTCTTGATGAATGACTTACACAAAATTTAGTTGCCAAAAGTATCGCCAATAACACAGCCAAGTAGTCGACTTTAGCCTGATGCATGGATTAGCTCTGGTATTATATACGGTCTCCCTCAATGGAAATATGACTCAGTGATGCTTGATAACAGTGCTGATTAGAAATAATGCATGTTCTTATGAGATTATAGGTTACACAGTGAAATTCAAAGTATGCATTTTTTATAGACCTTTTGAAACAATTCACAAGAATTTCAACAATTTTGTCCACTCCTCTAATGTTAATTCTGTACATGAAGATTCAAAATATGACATCATGTTAAAATAATGATTAAATAAAGATTTAGATTTTGCAAGTGCTTATATGTTCATTTTTGAAAAATTGAGACACTTTACCTCTCTCTCTTTCTCCGTGTAGAAACTTTAAGCCCCTTTAGTGAGTTAATAAGATTTCAGAATACTATATAAGAAACTTAAATTTTCATCCAAGATGACTCCAAGAGTAATATTAGTTTTATCCTTGATAAAAGATCTTTTTTTTATCGCAAAAGTCACATAAAATTAATTTCAGATAATTTATCTATATGGCTGTGTGAAGCATGAAATCTTTTTAAAGTACATGTCGTTTTCTAAATCTCATTTGAAGGAGAACGTTAAAGACTATCTCCGATCGAAAGTTTAATCTGAAACAAGTTCGATTTAAAATCTCATTTTAGGTACACGGAGAAATGAGATTTAAATTGGAACAGTGTAGACGTGTTTGAATCTGTATGAAAAGAAGCATTGACAAAAGGACGAAAGAAAGCAATTAAAATAAATAATTATCAAATGGTATTTGAATACGCACTTTACCTATTAATAGAAAACCTATTGATTAGATTCTATTTGCAGAACGCAGTGATTGGCATTGTATTTTTTAAGCATTGTAAGTTATCTGAATTGGTTTCTACAAATTTGCTTGGGGAAAAAAATAATTTCGTAATATAGCTTGAACATTTCCTTAAAAAAAATTAGTATAATCTTATAAAAAAAAAAATTGTTCCCTATTCTGCATTTTTAGAATATATTTAGTAACAAAAAAAGTCTTTATTTTATACAAGTTGAAAAATATTTAAATCTGTAAAGTGTGTTTTGAGTATTGAAGCTGAATTCGCTTTTTATTCGTGCATTTTAACAAGAAACTTTTCTCTTGACTTTTTTTGGTGTTTGTACTCCAGAAAAAATGACTTCTGAATTGTTTTAAGCAATGACAAGTTATATATTCAAAGAATCATAAAAACTAGATTGCAGTTCTAGAAAAGACCCATCTTTCAGAAGCATGAAATTTGCTGCATGTTAATCATTTTTTAACCCAAATGCTTTAAAGAAAAAGACACAGTTTCTATTATAACTAAACACCAAACTAATTCACTCCTTCACCACAAAACAATGCCCGACGAAAAGTATTACACTACCATAGACAAACTGCATCACCTTTGCAAAATACTCACACTAAATACTATGTCATAAGTATTAAAAATACTGGCAAATGAAAGAAAATATCAGTACCCGTACGCTGCACGGGCAAACCACTTGAGGGGTTAAAGGAAGCTGAGTCTCAATGTCTCATAGAGTGGTATGGAAAATTATATAAATATATATATATATATATATATATATATATAGGTTAAAACAGTGAGAGTTACCGCCACAAGTACCTTGTCACTATCACAATGCCATGTCGTTGAATAAAACATGAATACCATTTACCGGATTTACCTTGTTATTATTAATTTAAAACATAAAACTATATTTACAATTACTATTATATAGAAACTTAGAAACTACTACAGTCATTTTGTTCGCCCGTTTTTCTCACTTCCAGTCCTTTTCCTGCTCAAAGAATGTCATGAGTTTGAGTCTAGTACCGCTGAAGACCCGCCATGTAAGGGGGGGGGATGCTCGTTAAATTTGTCGAGAGCTCAAACGTCCTCCCATTGGTGTGATGTGGTAGTTAGGAGAGGGGGTGCTAGCTAAGGTGTCATCCTCGTCACTTGAGCATGGTTCAACATTACAAAACCCATCGCCAAAAGCCCTTAAGTAGCTGGGCCCTCAAGTAGTGACGATAATATTCACTTACTCTCCCACTCAAAGAAAAAAAACAGTTTCATCATCTACAGAAGCGCCCTCTTTTTTTACCAAGCAAAACAGCGTTGCAAGCCAAGCGTTTGCATCACATATAACCAAACTCTATTGCAAATAGCCCTCGAGTAGCTCTAGTGCCACGCTAATTAAAAAAATGAGACATGTAAACAACTATAGCGTACACCATCTAAAGCAATGTCAGAAAGATAATTAGTGCTACTTGAAATAGCTGTTACGTTAAAATATAAAGGAAAAGACGATCTGCTGGTGAAGAAGTGACTTCTTATACTGGAATGTTAGGATTAGATATATCGTGAAAATAAATTCGAGAAAGATAAAACTTTTTGAGAGACGTAAAAACATGTATTTGAATCAATATGTAAAGAGAAGTTTTCCTTAATTTAGATAAAAGTATTTTGTAAGTTAGTGTATGAGAAAATTTCATTTTCTCATTTTTTTGTCTGTAATAAGAAATTTTATTGATTTCAATTATATAGGGTGTGTCCGAAAAGTATAGGTACACTATTGTTGTCGTGTCCTTCTCCCGAACGAAGGAAGAAAATTTACTAGAGCAGAGGTCGCCAAAGTGGTGATCCGCGAGAAAATTTCGCTGGTCCCCAGAAAACTGTGGAATCTACTCCCGTTAGGTTTTAAGATTCATTGTGATTGCGTTCTTAGATCATAATTTTTTTAACATTCACAAAATCCTATTCCATGGGATTTCAATTATGGTCCGCGAGGTGAAAAAGTTTGGCGACCGCTGTACTAGAGCCACACACAGGTTGGACTTGTAGATGGTAATCGAATTGAAATCTCAAGTGCAGCGTGAATTTTGGATTACCCATAAACCAAGTCCACTTTCAAGATCAATAATTTATTAGTGATATAAAAGATTTAAGATGACAGAAAGAGTGGAACGTCAAAAACAAAATTTGGCTGCCCCAGCAGAGAAGCTGATATAACGTTACTAGTATAGATTCAATGTGTTGCGCGTAACTAACCGTGCAATAAAAGATTGTAAGAAAAAAAATTTGATATTTTCTTTATAGAACATAAAAACCGTAAGTTAATAACTTTATTTGTTTATTTGTAATTAAAATTTTAAAGTGTAACCATACTTTTGAGACACTCGGTACTATGGATCAAGGTTACAATAGAATTAAAATTAAAACAACAGGTTGAAATAGAGGAAATTTTAAGTTGATTAAAATTTAAAGATTTTGAAACTAATTCATATATTACACGATAAAATATTTTCAAATAAACGTTTTTTTTAAAAATGAGTTTATTTGAATTTTCTCTCGTGTGATTGCATTATATAGTACAATTAACTTAATTTGGCTTTATAGAATGAAAAAGGTTTTTTTCTCTCTTTTTTTTGTGTGTGACAAATAAAATGCTGGTTGAAACAAGTAATATAAAAAAAATTAAGTCAATTCCTACTTTTTGGTCAAAATAAAGAAAAACTTTATTGTAGTTATTTTTAATTAGATATTTACAATTAAATATATGTATATACATATGACAGAATCACAATATTAAGTGGCAAAATAGAAAGCGATTTTCTTAGTAATTTTTCATTTTCCTTTCTATATATATATATGAGGGGTTGGACTATTTTTTCTTTTTGTTTCTATTTATTCATTAATTAAATTTAATTATTCTAATAAAATAGTGTAGTAAAAAAATCACATTCTCAGAAATTAAGCCATCCCAGGTGGGATTCGAATCTACGACTTTCGGATCAGAAGTTCAATGCGCTATCCATTGCGCTACTGAGACATAACGAGTGATTTTCCTTTTTATATATGATGTTGGGCTATTTTTGTTGCTATTTATTAATTAATTAAATTTAATTAATGAATTAATATTTGAAAAAGCTGTATTAACATCAAGTGCCATCCACTACAAGTTTTTTTAAAAAGTATTTGAACTTGAGTGGATGAATAAATCGTATTTTATTAACGATTGAAAATTTGAACAAAGTATATATAGATATATATTATATGAAGAGTATAAACTACTAGTAGGAATTGAATCAGGTTGGTCTGATGTGCACTTTGAAGGAAAAATGGATGAATTGGATTCTATAGCAAGACAATTGATCAAAATTCCTTATTTTGGGAGTGAGCGAGAAACTCTGGAGATGAGATGTATCAAATATTAATCTGGGAATTACCATCTGTCTATGAGCTTATTTCGGTCTGGACAGCTGGTCTCTAGGATAGCATTATACCTCATGGTTAGTTATTTTTAATGAACTGGAACACATTTATATTCAATTATTCTCTCAACCGTATTAGAAACAAAAGAAAAGAATCCGTTTATAATTCACACAAACAAAAGAAAAATCCGTTTGTAACTACACAAACAAAACAAAAAAAGAAACTTGTATTGTATTAAATTTAAACTGTAAAAGCTGTAAAAGATTCAAAATTATAAAACACTCACAATTTTTTAAAAAAAGAATTAAAAGGAAAATTCACACTCTACGAAAATATTAGACATTTAACATCTTTAAACATTTTATGATGAATATAATGTATAGTCAGACAAGAAACACATGTTTATTAATCTATTACACATAACACATAAAATTTGCACGCTCACACACACACACACAAAATGTAAAACTTCTTATGTAATAACAACTTGGGTAAATGTATTACTGGAAAGCTCTTAATGACGCAATAAATATCTTGGACACAGTTACAACTTATATTTACTCAAAAAATCTCAAATAAATACATCCATTATTTAAAGTTTTGAAAAAAAAAAAACTACAGAATAATAGAAATATACAATGCTGGTTCTAGACACGGTCTCACTTTTGAGAGAAAGCATGTTTTAAAATTATCTGCGTGATTCAATTTGTTAAGGTTATCTTCGGCTAATGTTAAAGAAAGGGGCCGGACTCGGAATATTTTTTCAGATATAAAAATATTCAACCATTAATATTATATTCTGGTTACACTATCCTGTAGAGAATCACTTATTTTAACATATTACTCATTTTTATCCGAGTTGACACATTTTTTCTTTTATAAAATGCGTTTTGCATTTTTTTTCCTGTACCGTAATGCTAAATGATCTATCCCTTCACATGCTAAAAAAACTAATTATTTATGAAACATTTTGAAATTTTAAAAACACTATATTATAAACAAATGCATGAGTTAAAATGTCACAAATTTTTATAAAAATTGAGGTATTTCTTCTGTCGAAATGTGCTCCGCGTTAAGCTCCCGCTCTCGTACATATGTGATGAAAACAGCCTTAAAAGTGAACCTTTAAAATTTTATTCTAAATCTCAGCGCATATAAGAGAGCACAGCCAAAGTATCCAACACAGCAATGTTGTTCTTTTAATTTCTTTTTTAAGGCTGTGTAGAGAAGCATCAAGATATGCGGATTAAGAAATCATGATATTAACGAATTATGACACCAAAAACAAATAAATGCATAAGAAGAAATTAGTTTAGGAGGTAAAAAAAACCTCTTCGTGTCATTATACTTCACATTCTTCTTCGTTTATTTCTATTGTACTAGGTTGCAATGTGGCCACAATATTTAAGACCTTATTTAAAAGAGCTTCTGGTTTTCTCGTGAAGTCTGTTACTCATTCTAGACAGGTGAAAGTAATTACTTTTAGCTAAATGGATTTGTACAGTGAGAGTTTATTTGAAAGATATAATCTAGGTTTGCTGTATAAAAGAGTCTTTTTACACAATCTTTCTTCATACAAACTATGCATTGTTATTTACTTTGGCTATAGAGTTTAGTAGAATTAGTAGTAGAGTTTATAGACTATAAACTTTAGTAGTAGTTAAACTGAACAAATAAGTAATCATATACTATTTTTACCCAAATAATGCTTTCAGTTTAAGAGGACTTGGTACCCTTTGAACTATTTTCTTTCTTTATGTATTTAAAAATTATACTTTAACATTCTATATAATGTTTCTATTCAGGAAAATGATACGAGATGAAATTTTTCAGATATTATTCCCACAATGTTAAAAATTTAAATTTTTGAAGAAAATTTGGTAAGTTTTAAAATCCTACTCCTTCTATAATTATTAATTTTTTGACCTGAAATTTTTGTAATATTCTTATGGATGTTATAACAACTTTAGGGATCGATTTTACAATAGCTTAATTCATTTTTGTGAAAAAAAATAAAATGTTGATATGTATGATAAAAATCAATGAAAAAGCCAATATCTCTTACATTTTAATTTTTTTTTAAAAAAAAGTATTCACACACAGTTTACAGCAAAATGGATCACTAATTTTGTTACATACTTTATATGCAACACACAGGAAAAAATTGGAAGTCATCGGTAAATAGTTGTGGAAGGAACAGCATTTTGAGCGCACTAATGTTTCGAAAAACATTAACTGAGAAAAACCACTTTAAAGTTTATAATTCTAAAAAAATTTATAATAAGCTTAAATAAACTTAAAATACCACTTTTTAAGGTATTAGTTATATATTTCTCTTTAAAATAATTGCATTTTTTTGTATCTTTTTAACATATACATTTTTATAAATGATCAATTTTAAGAAGGTATTAATTGCACAACAAAATTCACAAGAAAAATGTTTAAAAAATTTTTTTTTCTAACGACAGAAAGTTTCGTTTTTTTGTATAATTGCAGCATTTAGTATAATTGAAGCATTACATTTGCATGAAAAACATATCTGGAATAAGAACTGAAATTATGAAATTTTTAAGATAAAAATGCCTTAATTGAAAAATTTTATATGCACACATTTCACAAAGAAGAAACATTACATTATTGTATTTCCTCGAAAATATTCTGCTTTATATACTACACATTCTTTTTTTATAGTTATTTATCTTTATAAAACAGATTTTTTATCATAACGCTTTTTTTAGCTTTTTTTTTTAAAAAAGGTGTGTGGCCGAATTGCCTAATTTGTTTTCAAATGAGGTTTTATTCAGCTTCTAACTTTCCGACTTGCACAAATGATATATCAATCGAAAGATAATAATGAAAAGAATAAGAATAAATAAAAATTAAAAAAACGATAGGTCGGTCATTTTTGGGGTACCAAGTCATCTTAACTAACTGATGAAATGGGGTTGAGAGAGTAAGTTTTTTCGAAGTAGTAGTAGTATGTACGGTGAATGAATTGTGAGGTTTTAGAGTTAATTCGTATTGGAATAAAATTATTTGATAATTATGGGACCACATCAAGAAAATGTTTTTTTTTTCAGTTTTTAGATTTAAATCTATAAAATAGTCTTGATCATTGCTCAGAATTACGAAATCAGTCACCAATAGCTCTCGTTTAGCTTCGAAGTGTGACACTATAATAAACACAATAAATATATCTAGAGCAAAGTTGTTCAAATAAATGAAAATATAGGCATAAAATACTGCATAGTTTGATGAAATGGAAAGGTAAATAAAATGTCATTAAATTATTTCTCTATCATATAGGCACATCTAATTTTAGACATAACAAATGTTTCAACGGGGAAGGTAATCATGCAATAAAAAGCGCTTTTTATGAATATAATTTACTTTTATAAACTCGGATATTTGATTTAACTCTCTAACTCCTATAACATGCGTAGGATTTTTCAAAAAATACGGTAACAAGAGCTCTGACAGGTGTGTAAATTACCCGTATGCGAATAAAAAAATCCCTCTAAAGTTAATGAAGACCATCACACCATTAAAACCGTGCCGGTAGATGAAGCTGGTTCTCTATTAAAGAGACTAAATCTCAGTGAAAAGATGACTGCTTGAAAGGATAAATGGTCCCTGATTGAAATAAGAAGAGTGACACGGTTTTTGGGTTAAAAGAAAAATTTTCTTGCTAAAATACTTCAAACAAAAATTTGGTAGAAATGTGAGGTACAAGTGTTATTTCGCAAAGACAGGTGTGGTTTTTGTGCACGGAATTTGACAAAGGCAGAACAGATATGCTACATGAAGAAATAACGTTTTTGGTAGGAGTTTTTGGACCACCCTCCTTAAATTCCCAGTGATACACCAAGTGATTTCCATCTCTTCGGACGTTTCAAGAAACAGTTGGGAGGTCATCATTTCAGAACCGATGCTGAGGTTCAGCAAGCCGTCTCGATGTGATTGCACAATCTTGACACTGATTTCCTTGATGATGGCTTCGATGGTTTGGTGTACCTATGGAACAAATGCCTCTCTATAAGTATAGTGACTATGCAAAGAAGTAGTATGTACCTGTGACTTCTACAACATTGTATATATACAGTAGAACCTCCATATTACGAACCTCTATATTGTGAACTTTTCTATATAGCGAACTTTTTCCTAGAACCAAGAACATTTCACAATTTTCTTTTTAAATAACCTCCCTATAATGAGGTGCATTTTCTATAAAACGAACATTTTTCTTGTGATTCAATTTTTTTCTCAATATTTTTGAAGTGTTTCTGGATATTTCAAGTTATTCTCTCTTTTATCACATTTTATGGTGCTTGAACTAGTTTTATTAGGTGCCTAACTTTCCAAGATCAATTGAATTTTGGGCATTTCATCCAAGAAGTGTAACCTTTAATCCACATTGTCCAGTTCACTAGAAACACCTTCGATATCCCATTTCACCTACAGTGTTGTCTCGTGTCCCCGTGCCCTTGAATTAGTTTCGGTTCATTTGTAGTGTTGATTAGTCGTACTGGTAATTTCATTTCTTATAACTTGAAAATATCAAAACGAAAGTTCTTGAGCATCAAACAAAAAATTAATTCTTCAGGAAGTGGATAAAGG